ACTGAAATGGCTGTCATTACTCTGACGTGACATTCCCTTAAGTGCAATTTCGCAACTGTGACCTAATGCTTACACAAAGAACATTACTAAATAACATTACTAAATAACATACATTCCACATAAACAGACGATTCTGAAAACAATCATTACAATCGCAACTCAGAAAAGCCAAAGAAAAAAGTCGGGCCGTCCTGAAGCACAAAAATCCCTCCCCTTCCTCCTTTCCTCTCGGCGCCTCTTAAAGTGTCTACAACGTATTCAACAGGAGGCTTCCAAGGCAATATTCCAGTACCGTTCGGAAATGTAGGTTTTAACTTCGGTCAGAATCCAGGAAGGCAAAGGAGACCAGGGAGACCCCAGCGACAACAGAGACCTCAACGGTTCCAACAAAACACCCCTCAGACTTTCGAAAGAGGTTAGTTTGGAGAGTCACGCAAGACGAGCTAAGGTTAAGGAATGTCAGCTGCACGCCTAGTTTTCGTAGGATAGGGAAGTGAAAGGGGGTTTCCACTTTTTTAAGAAGGATAGATAGTCAGCTGCTAAAAGAAATAAAAAATCCAACGAGTTTATGTGGCAGGTAAAGGTAAGAAAAACATATAAGGCATATAGGCATGTTTCGTTCATTGACGGCTTTAGGAAAATGAAAAATCTATTTTTGGACTTCCCTGCTCTTGAACTGAACAACACATCCTGCTGCAATCCCACAGGTCCCGACGGTAGCTTCCGTCCTTCCAACAATCCTGGCTTCAACCCGGGCGGCCCCGACTGCACGGGCAACAGGAGAAACTCTCGGCGCTGCCAGAACCGTCCGACTGGCGGCCAGGTTGTTGGCCAGGGAGGAGGAGGTGAGTGGCAGCTGTCCCTTTCCCTCTCTCCGGCAGCGATCTCAGCTGCAGGAGGAGGATTGAATACCAAGTAGTACTTGAAGTATGAGTATGAAATCTAACAACAGCGGCTAGTTTTCTGCTATATGCAAAGCACACCAAGAATCACGGATTATGTATCAGTCTCTTTTCTAAAACCAAAAGAATCAACATCAACTAATATTACGAGTTAAGTGTAAGATACAATCACAGGATGGACTTTCTCTAATTATACGTCGCGTAAATCTAAAGGAGTAGAATAAATCTGCAGGTGAGTCTCTGTTCATTTTCCAGGTGTGAGCAGCGCCTTCCAGCAGATTCCTTGGCTGAGCCAGCTCTCCAGTGACCAGCGGAACCTCCTCATTCCAAATCTGCCGAAGACGCCGTCGCGCGGGGCCCAGAGTCGCTTCTTCTTGCTCGGCACGGGAAAGGTGAGTGCCAAAGGGAGGGCCAGTGGCAAACGGAGGGCGAATTGAGATTAGGGAAGGAAGGAAAGATGAAATAGAATACAAAAAAGGGAAAAACGGTATTTTGTATGCGATGCTCATAACGTCGTGTCCTTCGCAGCCCGACGTGCCCTTCCAGCAGTGCGTGACGCCCAAGTTCGAGCGCGGGCACTGCCGCTACCTCCAGCACTGCATTCAGCCCGAGTTCGTCAACAACTTCAACGTGTTCCTTCGATACGTCTGCTTCATTGAGGGAGTGTGAGTTCGCGTCGCTTTGTTTTTGGGCGAATTTCGTGTCGCAAGTTTGTTGACTGGAATTTTTGGTTTACCTGTTTCATCTTTGTGAATGAAGATTTTTTTTGTCGATGCTCTTCATTAACTGCTGAATACATTGGGTGTCGAGGCAGTGTCAGGGTCTTTGATCATAACTATACGTGTGTCATCATATCAGTTGTCGCTTATACAGCTGCAAAGATTCTACCGTTACCATGCCTTTGTCCTTCTCCCTCGCAGGTACGTAGGGGTGTGCTGCCCTGACACCTTCAACAACAACAACGTCACGCCCCCTCCTCCGCCCACAACCCCCAGGCCCACGACGCCCCGCCCCGTCACCCCGCCGTCGCAGTCTCGGGGTAACTCGACTCTTAACCATTTTCAGCTGCAGATTATGCGTTGGCGAATGCTATTTGTTCAGGTTCATGAAGCATCCAGTTTAACCTGATGTAACCACCCCGCCCCTTGCACCACCCACAGGTTGCGGACTGATCGCCAAGAGGCCGCCCACTCGCATCGTAGGCGGAAAGGACGCCGACCCGCAGGAATGGCCGTGGATGGCAGCCCTCATGAGGGACGGGGCGTCCAGCTACTGCGGCGGCGTGCTCATCACCGACAGCCACGTCCTCACGGCCGCGCACTGCGTTGACGGGTACGAGCACGAGAAGCGACTGTCGTTTCTGCTTTTGTTTAAATGTCATCAGCAGCAGAACAGTCGCATCGTCCATTATCAACACCATCAGCTTCATCACCATCGTCATTGTTACTGTTGCCGTTAACACTGTTATTATCATTACGCGTCATTTTTAACGTTTGTTGTTCTTCCTGCAAATGCTGTTGTTGTTAGTCTTTAAACTCGCGATTTCAATCTTTTTTTATCTTCCATTTGGTTCATACCAGTTTCCGTTGGGAATACAAATTCTAAGTCAGCGATTGCCTTCCCGCAGCTTCGACCGCAACACCATCACGGTGCGGCTGGGAGAGTACACCTTCGACCGGGCCGACGACACCGGCCACGTGGACTTCAGGGTGGCCGACATCCGCATGCACAGTTCCTACGACACGACCACCTACGTGAACGACATCGCCATCATCAAGCTGCAAGGAAGCACCAACTTCAACGTCGACATCTGGCCCGTGTGCCTCCCCGAGGGCGACGAGTCCTACGAGGGCCGCACCGGCACGGTCACAGGTACGAGGCTGAACCTGGCTGCTCCTTGCGGCCGGACATCTACGCATATGTGTTGGAGAGAGAGAGAGAGAGAGAGAGAGAGAGAGAGAGAGAGAGAGAGAGAAGAGAGAGAGAGAGAGAGAGAGAGAGAGAGAGAGAGAGAGTGAGAGAGAAAGAGAGAGAGAGAGAGAATCACCATTCCCCAAAGTCATCACTTTATTTCTTTTTATTACGTATACTGCATTTGGGCATTAGGAGAAAAGATAATATATGTGTGATTTAGTATGTAATCTATGTATTCACTGGTCTATCTTGGTGACTTTTAGTCTCTCGTGTGCGTATCGCGCCTCCTGCCGCAAGTGTTGTTTTCTTGTTTTTGTTGTGTTTGCTTACTTTCTATTTTCTTATTCTACTTTGTTGAAGTGTCCCTCGTTTGTCTTATTAAC